GGGGGGAAGCGAGCGGTGTGTCCAGCACCTCTCAACCTGGGGTATCAGGGAGGTGATCGGTGGTTCCTCGGGGAGGAGAGAAGTTCGTGTGGAATAGTTGTGTGTTGTTTTCTTTGCTGAGGGAGGCGCGTGGTGTGCCGGATGTTAAGAATAGAGCTGCAGCAGAGGTGGTGGATGATGCTGAGCTGCTGACTGTAAGTACCTGCCACAGGCTGGGTAACCAGAGTGCTGTTGCTACTTGTGTACCTGTGTTGATGTTAAGGTGTTAGGTTGTGGATGTTGTGTTTGTCAGACCTTGAATGAACCAGTGCTATCAGTTGCCTGTATATTGTTTAGGTAGGAAAAGACCTTTAAGATCATCGTGTCCCACTGTTGACTAGTGCCATGCACAAACAGCACTAACTCATCCACCACTGAACCATGGCCTTAAATGCCCCATCTACATGTCTTAAATACTTCCAGGGGTGGTGAATGCATCAGTTCCCTGGGCAGCCTGTGTCAATGCTCGACAGCCCTTTCAATGAAAAAGTTTTTTCCAGTATCTAATCTAAACCACCCCTGGTGCAACTTGAGGCATTGCCTCTTGTCCTGTTGTTTTGGGGGAGAAGCGCCCTGCCCCTGTGTCACTACAACCTCCTTTCAGGCAGCTGTAGAGAGCAGTAAAAGCTCCCCAGAGCCTCCTTTTCTCCAGGCTAAACATCCCCAGTGCCCTCAGCTGTTCCTTGTTAGACTTGTGCTCCAGAACCTTCACCACTTTTGTTGCCCTTCTTGCGACATGCTTCAGCAACTCCATATCCCTCTGTTAATGAGGGGCCCAGAACTGAATGTGGACTCACCAGTGCTGAGTACAAGGGGACAATCTCTGCCCTGGCCTTGTTGGCCACACTATATCTGGTACAGGCCAGGATGCTGTTGGCCGCCTTGGCTGCCTGGGCACAAGTTGGCTCATGTTCAGCTGGTGTCAGCAAACACCCCAGGTCCTTTTCCACTGAGCAGCTTTCCAGCCACTGGAGCATTGAATGGGGTTGCTGTGACCCAAGGGCAGGACCCAGCACTGAGCCTTGTTGAACCTCATGCAGTTGGCCTTGGCCCATTGATCCAGCCTGTCCACATTCCTTTGCAGAGCCTTCCTACCAACCAGTACATCAACACTCCCACCCAGCTTGGTGTTGTCTGCAAACGTACTGAGGGTACACTCAATCCCCTTATCCAAACCATTGATAAAGATACTAAACAGAGCTGGCCCCAGTACTGAGCCCTGGGGAACACCACTGTGACCAGCTGGATTTAACTCCATTCACCACCACTCTTTGGGCTCAGCCATCCAGCCAGTTTTTTACGTAGTGAAGAGTGCACCCATCCAAGCCATGGGCAGCCAGTTTCTCCAGGAGAATGTTGTGGGAATGCTTTTCTTTAATGTCTTGGATTATCATTGGTTTTCTAGGGCAAACTGAAGCATGACTGATACAGATGGATCCCAGTCTTCTGGCTCCAATTACCCTGATGGAGAAGAGCTAACGAGTGGTTGGCAGGAAGAACCTCATAAGATACATGCATGTGAAACACATACACAAATGGAGCGTTCACGTTCAAGGCAAAAGAATGATTCTTCTGAGGAATCTTCAGATGAGCTTAACATATATAAATCATCAGCTGCTTCAGCTGAGTTTTTACTGGACAGCAGTGATTCAGAAATGTGAGGGTTTTATCTGTAGTTTAGAACTTTTTATGTGAAGAACCTGTGTCATAGATCACAAAAGTATACATTCTGTTGAAATTAAATATTTTTTCTTCTTCTCAGTGATGTCTCTGCTGCTGGTGGCAGCGGGTACCATCCCAAGTGTTCCACTGCACCTGCAAAACGAAAAAGGAAATCCAAGTCTTCAAGGCAACAAGTTGAAGCTGTTGCAGGAGTGTCTGACAATGAAAGCTCCTCAGATTCTTCTCTGTCTCCTCAAAGTCCACCAAAACCATCGGAAACTTCAAAGAGGCCCAAGTCAAAATTCAATTTGAAAGCCATTTTTGACTATCACTTCAGGGGGAAAAAGTTTAAGGCTGCTGCACACCGAAAATACATGGATGGCTCAGGAAAGAGGAGGAAGAAGACGAAGTATGTGAGCACACAGATGCCTGTGGGGAGACCACCACTGACGGCCTCACGTGAAGAGCAAAAGAGAAGGCTTCTAGGCAGAGGTGTTCAATTCCCTTTTGTTCAAAAACATTATGGGAAGAAACATATTCCCCTGAAGATGGTTCTTGGCTATGAGGCAAGTCCTCTTATTTTGTGGGATAAATGTATTATTTATTTAGTCTAAAAACAGTTTAAATTGGCAGTCACAGAATCACAGAGTGGTTTGGGTTGGAAAGGACCTTAAGTTCATGTAGTTCCAAACCCCTGCTGTGGGCAGGGATTTCTTCCACTAGACCAAGTTGCCCAATAGTGGCATTTTTTAAGATCTTGCCTGATGTGTTCGTTTCTTTTCTTCAGCAAGCAGCTCTGAAGGGATATTTCCGGTACATTGAAATGCTTAAATATGAAGAACATCTTAAGAAAGCTTTAAAAGCCCTTCAGGCTAGTGAAGACTTGGAAAGAGAATGTCTGATGGAACGGAAACACAAATACTTGGATGATGAAGGCCCCATTTCCCCTATTCAGGAGACAAAGTAAGTTTAGCTTTATATTTTAGGTGGTATGAAACTTCTGGGGTTTTATACTTAAATATAATTCTCTGTGTATACAGGTAGGTGCCTGACACTCCAGCCCACCCCCCTGTCTCTTGGTCACCCCCTGTTTGGTGGTGTGGGAAGGGCATCAGTACTGCTTTAGTTGCATATCCAGAACAGCACCTTGAATCTAACTGTCCCAGCCAGACCAGTACAACCCATTACTACTGTAGTTGAGGAATTCGGGAGGTAGTACAGCTGCTTGCAGTAGCATGTGATTTTATGACAGTTGTAGGTATATCAAGTTCAGTTCATACTATCATAGCATTAAGTAGGTTGCAAAAGACCTTTAAGACCATCAAGTAGCAGCACTGCCAAGGCCACGACTAAACCATGTCACTGAGGGCCTCATCTACCTGGTTTTTGAACACGACCAGGGATGGTGACTCCAGCACTGCCCTGGGCAGCCTGTTCCAATGCCTGAGCACCTTCTTGGTGAAGAAATTTTTCTGAATATCCAATCTAAACCTCCCCTGGTGCAACTTGAGGCCATTTCGTTTCGTCCTGTCACTTGTTACTTGGGAGAAGAGACTGACCCCCACCTCACTACAACCTCCTTTCGGGTAGTCGTAGAGAGTGATAAGGTTCCCCTGAGCCTCCTTTTCTCCAGACTAAACCCCCTCAGCCGTTCCTCATCGGATTTGTGCTCCAGACCCATCACCAGCTTTTTGTTGCCCTTCTCTGGACCCACTCCAGCACCTCAGTGTCTCTCTTATAGTGAGGGGCCCAGAAGTGAACATGGGATTTGAGGCATGGCCTGACTAGTACAGGAGGATGATCACTTCTCTTGTCCTGCTGGCCACGCTTATTTCTGATGCAGGCCAAGATGCCATTGGTCATCTTAGCCACTTGGGCTCAATCTGGCTCGTGTTCAGCCATGATCAACACTAATCTAAATGGGAATATCTGCTTATGAAAGCACTGTTGATTTTGGGAACAAAATGCTCTGAACCTTGGGATTCTGTGCTTGTAAATGTGACTTAGAACTTCTCATAGAATGAGATATTTTTAATCTGAAGACTATTCATTGTTTCGTCTGATTTGTGCTGTCTCATTAAAGTGATGTGGTAGAATGAAAGTATTTCCTGAAATTAGTTCCTCTATAGTTACCCTGAATAAATAAGTAGAGTGTTTTATGGCAAAGACTAAAGCTTATTTTTTAACTTCCTTTTTACTTTATTAAGCATTAAGTATCATCTTTGTAGTCAAACACTTCACTTGCATGCAAGTTAAGAACACTTAATGTTGTAAAATATGCTCAGCACCTTAAAACTAGAAAGCCTAAAACCAGTGTAAAGTACAAAGCTGTCTTTCTTCTATTTTAATAATCACTTAACATTGCTGATTTGTGTGAGTTGGAATATTGGGGTCTGTAAAACGAGTAACATCTTACAAAAGAGCAGAGGAAAAGTTCTGTAGAAAAAATGCAAATCAGCTCATCAAGACACTGAATTCTTTACATGAGATGAGTCCTGGTGAACTGTGCAGGTTTTGGAACCAGTCCTTCCTGTGCCACTTGTTGAAACCATTGTACTGCAATGGTTTTACCTCCAGGGACTGCTCTCTGTCTTGAGAGAAGCCTGTGCATGATGGTGGAATTGAATTTCCTTCTTGTTCATGGCAATATGGAGGTAATGTTTCTCAGAGACATTGTCATTAAGAAGGCTGTGTAGTGTTGTTAGCTGAAGCCTATGCTCTTGTTTTCCTGATTGTATTTTGCTTGTTTTCTGGCTTGCTGACTTTTCTAGCCTGTTTGCCAGTGCAATCCTAATATCTCTATACTACTGCTGCTGTTTGCTACTGAATCTGTTGTGCTGCCAAGCACTGCTGCTGGCCTGCTAGTGCTGCTGCTGAGGCTGCAATTCTGCTGTCAGAAACTCATTTGAAAACAATCTTAGGTAGAAGTAGTAGTATTGTATACCTACATGCCGCAGCACTGCCATACACATAAAGAGGAACCAGGGGTTGTGATAGGAAAGCAGTTGACAGATTTTAGACTATAATGGAAGTCCAGAGCTTGATTTTGGATTTTTATTTCAGTGATAATGACGACAGCTTGAATCCTGATAATCAAGATGACTTTGGTGCCAGAGTAGTGGTGAGTAAATATTCCATCACTTCAAAAACTCTAGCCTTGTTTTTCAGAAATTAAAGAACTAGCAGATGATGTTTTGAGTACTTAAAACTGTGTGATACCTCTAAATCTTGATCTGTAATTCAGAAGGAAGTTGTTTTGAGAGCCCACACTCCCTCCTCTTTGAAATAATGCTGGAATGCGTAGGAAATCCAGAATTCTCTGAAGAGTTCTTAACGTTTGCAAAGTTACTACCAAAATCTTAACCTTTTAAATAGCTCAGAACTAGACTTATGAATCCCTCTGTCTTCTGTGTTCCTAGGAGAACAGCTCGTTTATTCTAAGCAGCAAAATTCCCAGTAAGAAAAAATCAAAGCCAGTAAAGAAACGTGCAAAATTAACTGAAGTGATTGAAGTAGAGGAGGAATATGATGGCTGCTGAGAGCATTGGGCTTCTGCAGGTTCACCTTGGTGACCAGAAAACTATCAAATGAGATGGAAGTGGTCACTCAACCTAGTCACATTCAGTTTAAGGTGAGTATATTGGGCTTCTGTCTGAGACATTTACAAAACAAATAAAAGCTTAGCAAAAGCCAGGTTATAAGTGTCTTCTGTGCTGTCCTGTGTCAAGTGTATAATATCTGTGATTCAGTGACTGCTGATCTTGCTGAAATGCTTCTGTAGCTCAACTTCTGTTAACTGGTGATTCACAGAACTTGTGTATGGGTTGCCCAGAGAAGTGGTAAATGCTCCATCCCTGGCAGTGTTCAGGGCTGGATTGGACAGAGCCTTGGGTGGCGTGGTCTAGTGTGAGGTGTCCCTGTCCATGGCAGGGAGTTGGAACTAGATGATCTTAAGGTCCTTTCCAACCCAAACCATTCTATGATTCTATGGAAAGAACATACACATATTGTACACAGCAGCAGCGCAGTATAGAAAAGTACATTTAAAGAGCTGTGTAGATGAGGCCCTCCGTGACATGATTCAGTTGTGGTCTTGGCAGTCTTGGGTTGGACTTAATCTTAAAGGTCTTTTCCAGACTAGTTGATTCTGTGGTTCTGTGTTTGCATGCACACATACTCAAGTTACAAGGGGTAGTTTGGACCCTTTCATAGCTGACTTGTGAGTGGTACTTAAGGTTATTTTTCTTTCTTGAGGAAATGCAGGTTATGCTGTGAAATACTTCAAGAGCTAAGTCAAGGTGGAAGATGAAGCTTAATGCAGATCAAGTGCCAACAGTAAAAATGCAAAGTGATTGGTCAATTTGGATAAAAGTCTATTGCAGAATATGGTTTGTGATGATAAAATGGACTCGTATGATTGAGTTTGTCTATTAAATGTGGAATAACTTATCAGAAAACTAATTCTCTGCTCTTGAATGTAATCCAATCATCTGGAATTACAAGTTACCTAAAAATACCTGTATCAGCACAGTGAATCTTGGATTAGAAGATTCTTCCTTAATCCTCGCCCTCTGTCCTGAACGAGTTCTGATGTGAACATGACTAAGCACAAGGTGGAAACTTTATAATGACCATACTTAAGAAGCATTGCCTTGGCTGCAAATACTCTCCCAGGGGTATTTGACACTTGGGAACATGACTAGTGAGTGTTCAGGGAGGTCTGAGGATGGCTGACTTGATGTTGGGAGCAGTGTCAGTGAAGTGTTTAAGAAGTTTGCTTGTGAATCAGCAAGATTTAAAAACCAAAGCTGCTCTGCCTCACTCTGAATAGCAAATCATTGTGAGCAATAAAGTTTCAGCAGGTAAAAATAGTCTGTGCCAAACACAGATGTTGTCAGAAGAACACTTAATATCTACTGGTTTAATTTCCTTCAAAACACAGTTGACAGTCAGAAGAAAGTCAAATTGCATTCCCTGCATGCTTCAGTTGAAGTCCCAAATCTTTGTAGAGGAAGTTTGGAGTTTTCCAGTTGCAACTTGGTAGCTCTAGGGAGTAAGGCTGCAAAAATTACTCTTCAGTTGTTGAAGATGATATTTCATACTGGTCCAAAATTAATGGCTAAATGTAACTCTTTTAGGGATCTACCTGAGAGATACTCTATGGCTTGAAAGACACATCCTGGATCTAGGAGTGGGGTTCTTGCAGGGTAAGGTGTAGCGAGGTGTTATGTGGCGTCCTGCTCATTCTGCAGTTCACGTGATGAATTTTGCTGTTCAACTGCTGAGTGACTCAGAAATGAACTAAATTTCAATTCTGATTAGAACTGGATAAATCACATGAAAATCAGACTTGTCACAACTGCTACATTGCTTGCTGAAACGTAGCATTTGGCTTTAGGAATCTTAGTTACTTTACCATATCTGATAATTCTTATTCCTTTGCTTTTCTTCTAGTTCATGGTGCTTTTGGAAGAGGAAATGCCACTTGGTTTTCCTGATGTAAAAGGTGAGCTGTTTATTGGTTAGCAGGGGGACAGCAGAGAGAAGCTCTTAGTCTTGCACTTACATATTGCTAAAGCTGTCTAAATGTGTAAACCATCTTCCTGTAGGACGTTATGAGGTCTCTTTGGCTCCAGGACAGTCTAGGAAGTGGCATGGAAGAAAATGCTGTGTAAGATTACTGGACAGGAAAACATCTTTAACATGGGAATCCCTGAGCTAAAGTTGGGCAAGGAGTGAAACGTTACAAGAACATAGTATCTTCTTTGGCTGATGCTTTAGTATGGGTGCCAGAATAGATAACACACCAGTTTGACACAGCGTATGTTATTCTTACTAACAGAACTCCTTGCTGCAGTTACCTTGGTCCAAACTGTACCTGTCTTTCAAAGTAGAGAACATGGTAGTGAAATGTGACAGTTACTAATGGTCACTGTATAGGAAACTGAGACATAGCTTCAAATGCTGTTTCAAAAGTAGTGCAAAACTGAAAGCTGCTGCATTCAGTCTATTCCAGCACGTGTTCAGTTTTTGTCTGTTGCTGTAGACAAAAACCTGGAACCTAGTGCTTAGAAAAAACCCTTCTTTTGCAACCCACAGCTGATGAACATATTGGTTGTGTTACTTATACGAAGGGACAATATTTGCATGTCTGCAAACAGCAATTCATTCAAACACTGATGACCCTAGGGCATGGGTTCCATGTCTCAGATCTGCAGAAATGTAGTGCAGTTATATCTGTTTCTTTCCAGAGTTTGCAGATGAGCACAGCAGCTTCGGAGTGCTTCAGTTCTTACAGCTGTTAGCTGGTTTCTGATACACAGCTCTGTTACTTCAGTGGACTTCTATGGAGCATGTTGGTGAAAGAGGTAAGATCTGTGTTTCTGCTGAACTTCAGCATAAGGGTTCAGATTTCTTCAGACAAGTACTGTTTCCACAGTGAGTAACCAGACTGACTTGTGCACTGGATGGTATCTGCACCCAGCAGTGTCTTCCTGGTGGGGTGTTCAAAAAGCAGTGCTACAGTATTTCAGCAGCTGGCATCGTTGGTTTCCATGCAGATGTGCTGGTTAAACTTGGTATTTCTGTTGAAACAAGTAGATTAAAAGTTTTCTTATTGGAAAGTTTGTCAAATGCAACATCGAAGAACTACTGTAGGATAGTAGTTAAGTCATTGTAGATGTAGTTAAATCATTGTAGATGTAGTTAAGTCATTGATGTTATTCCAAAATACTTCTTTTTCATTCCTGCGATGCCTGGAACACAGTGGAAAGCTGCTACTTGAGGGTAAGTATTGAGGAAATAGTTGGGTTTTTTCCTAGGTGGAGGTAGTTGGGTGAGGATCATAAAAGCTCAATTCTTAGGTTTTTGGCTGCCTTCTTACAAGAAAGCAGGATTTGATTTTGAAACACAAATCCAAGCACCAGCTGGCAGCTAGTGAGATGTTTCTTCTGAAGTTAACTGGCTGGGCTTCCAAACCAGAAGCTGTTCTGCAGCCATTGTGGAGAGTTGTTATGCCACGTTATTCAACAAATGGACACAACTCACTGTGTGTCTGAATTGAAAAGTGTGGCTAGAAAAGGAGCAGGTTGTGCTTTCCTCACTGTACAGTTAATTGCAGTGGTGACAATGAGACCTGTAACAGGTTCACTTAGTGAGACAACTGTGCAAATGTCAATGATAATGCAGCTACTGCAGAATCCCAAGGATGAGCTTGTTTAGATTCTGCATCCTGCCTACTAGAGGAAGTAGACTTAGCAGGTGGAGGAAAAACACTTTGTGGTGCTAAAGTCTTGTAGCTGGTTTATTAGAGCATATTTGTAAGCTTTAAAATGCGATGTTACAGGTGTTTTCTTTGTCAGGTATCTCCCTTAGCTGTCCTTCCGTGCCACAGCGCTTGGCACATGTGTGACAGTCTGGGCCCTGGCTCTGATTTCAAAAGAAAACTTTGTTTTGGCATCAGCATTCAGACAGCACAATGGACCACAGTCTGTGCTTCATACTGAGGGGCAGTCAGGTTAGATATTAGGAAGAAGTTCTTTACTGTGGGGGTGCTGAGGCACTGGAACAGGCTGCCCAAAGGAGTGGTAAATGCCCCATCCCTGGCAGTGTTCAAGGCCAGGTTGGACAGAGCCTTTGGTGACATTGTTTAGTGTGAGGTGTCCCTGCTCATGGCAGGGGGGTTGGAACTGGGTCATCTTAAGGTCCTTTCCAACCCAAACCATTCTGTGATAGAAGTACTTAAGTCTTAATAAGTTACTAAAATACTGAAGAAACATGGAACTGTTACTCAGGTGCAACAATTTACTTTTTTTAGGGAGTCCACCTGGTAGTCCAGTCTGAAGTAGCATCCTGGTAAGTTGGTGGGACAGATTGCTTTTTAACCCTTGCCTGTTGCAGGCTACCTGGCTGTAACTTGGTGAGCCTGTTAAATTGCTGTTTTCTTTTTACTGAGAAGATGAGGTGTTGCTTTAGAGCTTCTCTCCCCCTACACTTCAGAATGCTCTGAGAAAACTTGTTGTGATGATTGGCAAAATGTTCAACTGCTCTGAAGAGAGTGAGTGAGAATGGCCTTTCTGAACAAACCCACCACATGAGTGTCCTTTTCATGGCACTTGTTCTGGGCATCTCGAGTATTTAACATGCAGCGTTTTTTATGAGCAAAGATGGTGACTTTATTTAAAAGAAACAGAAATGAAGAGCTGTCAGATGAAATAGGATAATGTTCAGACATTAAGTGTGATTCCAGATAGAGGCTATCAGGAATGCTTGTGATGGTTAGAACTGCTTGAGGACCAATCCCTGCTCTAGGTTCTGCTGGTTTATGTGCACATACGTGTCTGTGACCTGATCTTGCCTTTACAGGTGTTGTGTGATTAGAGAACTTGACAGAAGAAATGCAGGATGCCATTTCATGGGACTCTGAAGGCTCTTCTGGGGTTGGTTAGTATGACATCTGAGGTTCTGAGTATTCCTTAATGGTGGAAGGGCTCTGGTTTTCAGTGGTGGGAAGTCTGTGTGACTTTTGGGGGGTCTCAGGGACTTGTTTCTACACTGTGTTACTGTGTTGTAATGTAGCATTCACTCTGTTTAGAACTGATTTTAACTTTGATTTGTCCAAAATCAGTCATACAAATGTCTCGGTCAAAAAGGGGGTGATCAGCTTAACTTCTTACACTGATAGCTTTGTTTCTACAAGCAAGTTAGAGAGAGGATTCTGTTTGAATACAATTCTGTAGTTCATTCCATTTGTTTGCCTTTCAAGTAGCATTAACTTTTAATGATAAGGAGTTACACTAACAAATGGGGAAGATGAAGTATCATTAAGTTAAAAAGACAGTAGGATCTGTATGAAATGATACTTTTAGTCTGCTTGATTTTTACCTGTTGCAGTAGTTGCAGTACCAGGAGTGCTGAGGTCTATCCCGATAGGATCTCTTCTGTAGGTTCGTGTCGTTGGAAATGCCTCACAGAATAAACTTGTGGTTTCGCTTTACCCATTGAACTACCTGTTAGTTCTGTGGGATAAAACTACAAGACAAAACTTCATGTTCCATCCAGGGAGCTGTAATAACACATCATGTTCTCCTTTAGGTACTGACTTGTGCTTTGTGACAAATAGAGATGATTCAAGCGGAAAAGCTTGGTAAGAGTCAAGAGATTGTGTGTTCTGGGACTTGAGGTGTAACTGACATGTTGAATTGCATGAGGTTTCTGACAGTACTTGTGGCTTGAGTTTTCTGGATGGCTTGAAACAGTCTATTCCCCCTTACATTGTGATGGCATGAGAATTGTTTTGGTGGCTGTAGGTAAAGAGGCAGCACTGCAGCATCTGCCTGAACTTCCAAGTAACTTCATAAACATGGTGCATCCTCCTGCATCAAGAATCACAGAATCAGCTGGGTTGGAAAAGACCTTTAAGATCATCAAGTCCAACCATTACCCCAGGGCTGCCAAGACTACCACTAAAACATATCTCTCATAGTTTCATATTAAGCGGCAATATTTGGGTTATATTTTTAAGTTTGGGGTTTAAATTTTGGACTTAATTTCCAAGCAGCTCAGCCAGTTTACTGTTACGCAGTTAAAATTTGTGGGTTCTGTTTACGTAAAATGCAGGATTTAAAGGAAACCAAGCAAAGTATTCTGAAAGAACTATAAATCCTTCACAATAGGAAGGATTCTGATAAATTCCATGCTAAAAACTTGGAAGAATTCTGAAGCTGCTCTTTCCATTAGGTGAAATCCACAGTCTGTTTTCCCTCATAATTGGGTGGCAGCTACATCACTGTAGTCTGTCAGTAGACACTAACTGGTGCATGCAACAAGCTTGACTGTTACCCAAGCAGTTGTGGAGGAAGCAGGACTGTGGGCGTTGCACTGAGTGGTATCTGCACCCAGCAGCATTCTCTGCTGGGATGTTCAAAGAACAGTGCTACAGGAGGTCAGCGTTGGCATCGTTGGTTTTCATTCTGCTGTGTTTGTTAAACCTGGTATTATTGCTGATACAGTCTTTGTCCTGCTCAGGGGTTTGAGTGTACTCACATGTTCAGTGGGAAGCCTCTGGAACTCTGCAGGTCTGTTCTGTCTCTTGTTTCTAACAGGTGCTTTAGGGTACAGAATGAAGTGGCTGCTGCTGCACTGAAGGGATGAGCTGCAGCAGATAACCTGCGTGACAGGTAAGCACCAAGATAGCGGTTAGTTCAGATGCTTTCATGCTACTTTACACTTTGTGTGTTAACCTGTGTGACTCTGGAACATGGAAACCTCAGTTTACTGTTCCTGAGAAGTGTGGAAGTGGTTGTCTCGTAGTAGAGATAACTGGGCAGTCACCAACCCAGATTTTGGCAGTATTGAGCAGGCTGCTTCTCTGCAAGTTGGTATGTGTGCGTTACATACTTTAAATGGATGTCACAGTTGTGCAGCAGTTTGTACTGGTTTCTGAATTAGACTGCTCTTGGCTGGGAGGAGTTCCTCTGGATGTGGAGCTCTTAACAGGTTAACACCAGGTTGGATGGGGCTTGGAGCAACCTGCTCTAGTGGAAGGTGTCCCTGCCTGTGGCAGGGGGTTGGAACTAGATGTGCTTTAAAGGTCCCTTACAACCCAAACCATCCTGGGATTTTAGGCTTGTTGGTACACAACTTGGCTTGCATATTGGCAGGATTGATTTGCCTAAAAAGAAAGGATGGGTGACTGGAATATTGATGTAAGCCCCAGATTTAGGTTGGTGATAACAGCAGTGAGAGGAGAGGATCTGGTCATTACCAAGGCTGCTGGGATGCTGCTGTTTCTGGTGAGCTGTGGACATGACCATAGAGCAAAGCCATCAGACTCCTGAACTGCCACGTGATGTGGCACTAAGTCTGCTGGGAATAAAGCTTTGCTGTAGGTAACAGACATGCTGCTCCCCTCTGCTTTTTTTTTTCTGCTGAGGTGCAGGTATGTGGCTGTATCCTTGGGCACCTCCAACACAAGCTATAGAGGAACAAAAGCTCTAGTTAGAAAGGTTGTAACTTGGGCTCCAGAAGCTGCTGTTGAGAGGATGGATGGTGGTTGTGCACACAGGAGCCAAAAAGCTGCTCTGTGCAGTTTACACCCAACTTGTGTTGTGAACTCTTCACTAACCAAATCTAACTCCTTAACCTGTAGCATCTGCATGTGGGAGGCCTGAGAAACCCCACCTGAGTGCCACCAAAGTGAGTCTGAAGGTGAGTGCTTCGCAGAATGTTGGTGTTACAGAGAAACTTGAGGTCACTTCAAAGAGGGTTTGCATGGCTGAGAAACCAGCAGCTCTTAACGCGGTGACCGCACATTGAAATCCTCTGCAGGATGCCGTGGACACGTGGTGTGTGCTATGGTCTATTTATGAGGAGATAACACCTGGTGTAGTTGGACCTCTTGGAGTATAAAAGGATGTTTATCTACTGCCCTTGGGGTTTTTGAGATGCTGATGTAGGAAGAGGCCAATCAGTTTAATTCTGAAACCAGCTGACTTCCACAGCATGGAAGATTGAAGAACAACAGGTTGGTGCAGATGTGGCACGAGCAGTCTTGTAACTTCATTGCTGCTTATGTGTCCATGGAAGGGCAGTGGAGCTGGTGAAGGGTCTGGAGCAGCTGAGGGAACTGGGCTTGTTTAGCCTGGAGAAAAGGAGGTTCAGGGGAGACCTTACTGCTCTCTACAACTGCCTGAAAGGAGGATGTAGTCAGGTTGGTGTTGGGTCTGTCTTTTTGCCCAAGTACCAAGTGGTAAGCCTCAAGTTGTGCCAGGGGAGATTTAGATAGTGGAAAAAATTCCTTCCTCCAAAAGGTTATCCAGCATTGGAACAGGCTGCCCGGGGGAGTTCTGGAGTTGCCATCCCTGGAGGTATTTAACAGATATGTAGATGTGGTGCTTAGGGGCATGGTTTAGTGGTGGATTTGGCAGTGCTGGGTTAACATTTGGACTGAATGATCTGCAAGTGCTGACAGATGCTTTTCCTCTCCCAGGTCCTGGAGATGTTGCTGCAAGTCCACTACAAAGAAAGAACTGTGTGGCTGTTCCCCAGGAGAACCTCATCCAGACTGTTTATTGAATTTGACTGGAAAAGTCTTTATCAGCTGTTTTCCCCCCGTTCCCTGTCCTAAACCTTGGGAGAGAATGTGTAGAATGTTAAAGCATTTAAATAAAACTGCTGTGAGAGAGCTGCAGCCCAGGCTTGTTACCTGCTGCTATGGTGTAAGCAGATGGGGGTATATGTGAATAAATCATGGCAGCTGATCCCCAGTGTTTGCAGATAGCAAAGCACATAGGCTCAGCCTCTTCCCCTGAGAATGGAACAAGAGTATTTGTGCATGAAAACCTGAGCAGCCCTTCCAGCACCGCTACAGCCAAAATGAGGTACTGTACTGCTTATCTTTGTGTTGCAAAAAGCCTCTGCCTCTCCTCACTAGGGAATGACAAGCTGGTTTTGGCTTACGCTCTTAAATTGCTTCAGGAACTGCAGTACATGCAACTGCACCAGGGACTGAAAAGCTCAGTGAAAACAAGCCTAAAGTGTAGTTGATGGCTCATCAAGAATAAGCTCAGGCTGTTGTGTGCTGTATTTTAAACATGCAGTGAAGTGGCCCTGCTTTGTATTTGTCTTCATGATGTAGTAACTTGGCTCTGAATGGGAGCTCAGGAGCTGTGGATAGAAAGTTTATTCTCTTGCTCCTTGTGCTTTAAGATGTACCTCTTGACTGCAGGAGCTCACATGTCCTCATCTTAAAATCACACAGTGCAAAGAACAGATAAGTTCAGCTTTACAGAGGAACTCTCTTGATTCCTGAGGAGTCATCTTAAAAAGCTTTATTAGAAAATGTTTTATACATGTATATTACAATAGTTAGTATGATCTCTTTAAAATACAGATGCCCATCAAGAAAGGCTTTTCAGGGTCTGCTCAATGTCAGACAAACCATGCTTACAGCAATAGTTGGGCTGCTGCTATAGGGATGTTGGGAAAAGGTGAGGGTTTGTTGACTCACAGTCTTCCTACAGCTTAAAGCTGAGGATTTGTTAGGGCTCCACAACGAACCTGATGTAAGTGCAGTACTCAGTAGTCTCCTGGGCTGTACTAGGACAGCAGTGTTAAGTGTTCAGCCAGTCATGGTGCTTTCCCAGTCTTCTTGGCTCGTAGTTTTTCCAGCATTTTCTGCAAATAAAAGCAAACGATGATAGTACAGTAGTGCAGCTTAAGTGACAGCACTAAAACGTAACCTGGACATGAGTAACAGCAGGGCAGTGAGCCAGGCTACTGCTCCAGAACTACGGATGTTGGGGAGAAGTGTGCTTATTGCTCTTCTTTCCTGTTAATGACAGAATCTGTAAAACAATGTAAAAGGAGCACTGATGTGTTCCCCCCCAGAGAAGTTGAGGTGGTCAGTGCTAGAGGCAGGATGTGGGCCTGGAGCCCCAGGAGCAGCCTCAAGTCTGTCAGGACTACAGAGCATTTTCTTCCTTTCTAGCCATGTGAGGCTCAGCAAGGGGACGGGGAGAACCAACAGCTCAGGGCCTCTGGTTCAGTCCCTGTTGTAGAGCAGCTACAGGGAAACCCAGAGGGTCCCGCAGCCCTTGGCTCAGGTGTGCACAGCTGGGCACAATCTCCAGCCACTCAGAATAGCCAGAACAGCCAAATCCCCCAAAACTGCCTTTAATGGAAATTCAGTTGCATTTGGGCTAATAACCTCCTGTTCTTCTGCCAAATAGACTTTCTAGCCGCTGGAGGCCCTAACAGCTGCCTTTTGCTCAACCTCAAGTGACCAGAAAACCAGCCTGAGGCTGGTCACAGCACTGACAGGGAAATTCTGAACTGGGACATCCCTTAAAATCCAGGCTGGTTTGATGGTCGCTGTTTTGTATTCACACCACAGACCATGTGCAGTTACTCTGACTAGAAGCCTGGTGCAATGAGAACTAACCAGGTGGGCCGATGTTGTACAGACTGTATTACCTTTTGAAACTCTTTAGCCTTTTCTCTGTTCTTAGCATAAGTTTCTTGCCTTGTTTTTTCTTCCTTTCTCATTTTTACTTCTGCAAGTTGATTATAAAGTCTGCACAAACAGTAGGGAAAAGAATCGTTTTGTCAGAATCAAGTGGCAAAAAATCTGCAGGAGGTTCACATTTCAAGGTTTATATTGTCTCAGCTACTAGAAACCAGGAAATTCTGACTTCACTCTCCCACAATCCAGCCACATCAGATTCCTCTTTGGCTGCCCCTAACACACCCCCAATTCAGGGATGCAGTTGCTGCATGTTGCCCTTGCTTTCAGCCTTAGCAGAGTTCCACACATGAGCTGCCTCAGCAGGACAGAGTGAGCAGGTTTCTCGAGCCAGCTCTGTGAGAGGGTTTCCCAGCAGGAAAACTGGCCTGTCTCCCAGCTGCTGTTACACAGCACTGGGGCACAACTGGGAGATCACAGAGCACCCTGACTGAGCGGCCACCTTCACAACACGCAGATGAACCAGTGCTGGGGTTTAATCCAAACTTCTCCCACTTGTGTTCATGCAATACCTTGAAGTACGCTGGTGCATTTCACTTTCTTCAGACTTCCTGTCCCCTGGAGAAGACACTTTGACTTCTCTTACTTTCTTCAACTGACTGGCAACTGCACTTTTTTTCCCTAACAAAGAAAACAATCAATCAAACAGCTTAAATTTACACCTTTAGTCCAGCTAACTCAAAAGCTGAGTGGTTTTCCAAGGGTTTTAAATGACATTATAAAACAAGAAACAAGACAGCAGAATGGATCTGCTGGAGGTGGTATCTTCAGTCTCCCTCATGGGGCTGCTGCCTGCACTTCCCACCAGCTGCCTTCCAGCTCCCTGTTCACAGAGATGCATCATGGAATCAATGAAGTTGGGAAAAACCTTTAAGATCATGAAGTCCAACCTTTACCCCAGCACTGCCAAGGCCACCACTGAACCATGGCACTGAGGGCTTCATCTACATGGTTTGTGAACACTTCCAGGGATGGTGACTCCAGCACTGCCCTGGGCAGCCTGTTCCAATGCCTGGGCACTGTAATATCCAGTCTAAGCCTCCCCTGGCACAGCTTGAGGCTATTTCCTCTTGTCTTATTGCTTATTACTTTGGAAAAAGAGACCCCCACCTCTTCACTACAACCTCTTTTCAGGCATTTGTAGGGAGCTGTAAGGTCCCCCCAGACCTCCTTTTCTCCAGACTAACCCCCCCAGGTCCCTCAAACGTTCCTCATCAGACCTGTGCTCCAGACCCTTCACCAGCTCCGTTGCCCAACAGTTCCTTAACGTGGTTGTTCTTTGATAAACAACTGCAATTCGGAGAGACATGACTACAAACGTGCGGGCAGAAGGTGAAAACAGGGTAAGGACCCATAAGGGCTCCTGTGACACTGAGCAGGTGGCCAGGCAGTGGGGGAAAAGTTCCCCACGTCCCTGAGAAAACAAAGAATAGCCCAATCTGCATTAGTAAAGATGCAACAACTGTAAAATCTGTTCTTCGATGCAAAACAGCAACTGAAAGGATACCCAATGCTGCATTTGTCCCCAAATAAACCTACCAGTGATAGGAGAAGACTCCTTTTGCCTGCTAAACTTGTCAGACTTTCCTCTTCTTTCTGCTTTCTCATTTGCTCTCTCTTTATTTTTTATTCCTTCTACTCGTTTCAGGGATTTCTGGATGAAGTTCTGCTTCCGTCTTAAGAAAGATTCTTGCAGACTTCCGGGTGTAGCTGCAAACTCCAACACCATCACTGTGAGAGAAAGTGAACAGGCTGAACATTCCTCACTTCTAGCCATGAGCAGTATCACCTCTAGTAAGTCAGCATCACCTCTAGTAAGTTGTACAAGTCAATGTGTTTCTCCTAAAATGCTGAGCTTGACTACTTTGGTAAATCACACTCGGAGAATCACATTGTGAGTGCTGAGCAGCAGTTCAGGCCTATGGAATCCAATAACCATAAGTGGGTTTATCAGGACAAATACTGCATTGAAAGCATCTTCATGCCTCAAAACATACTCAAGGACCTGAGAAGTCCCTGACACACTTAAGTTCTGTCCATTCCTGTCTTTCATGTTACTGCTGTTCATCCAGGACAGAAAAATACTCCAGTGTTTTACTGATGTTCCACACTACCATCAGGATAAGAAAAACCAGACAATCTTTGGCTACAGAGCTTGGGACTAGCAGGAAATAAAAAACAAGTGACAAAATATGACAGGAAATGACAAAACACAGCAGAATTTTTCAAAATTAAGTAGTTACAACACAAAAACCCCAGTGTATTGTAGATGTTACGAACTTTCAAAGACAGC